GGGTGTAATTAGGCGGTTTAGGGGGTCCGGGTTTCGATTTATAGCACAAGAAAGACAACAAAACAGCTCAGGCTCCATAAAACCCTTTTTGCAGCAGGCTTCTCTCGCCCGGAACTGCCGTCGCCGTGAAGCAATGCAGCGCTCATGACTGCGTGTACTCATGACAAGCCATGCTGTCCTACCCTAAACCCCCTTAATAGTTAGAATAGGGGTTCCTTAGTATAACTATCGTATAATATACCCCAAACCCTATTGAAATTATTAAGGCCCCTACATTAAACCCCCCCTAAACCGCTCATCTTGTAAAACCCAAGGCCCAACTCCAGGAGTTCAGCTTGCCCGGATGCAGCCATCAGCGCCCGGCGCCCTAAGGCGCAATCGTGGTTTCATAGGTTTCGGTTCCTGTTTATGAACGGCTTTCGGCCCTCATTGGGCTCCAAAATGCCCTTGTGTTTTAGGGTTTAGGGTCCTTTTTGGGTTTAGGGTTTAGGGTCCTTTTTGGGCTTCAGCACTCACATGCGGGCAAGCCTAGGCGAGGATTACCTGTTCGAGTCTCACAGGCACAATGTTCAGGGCTTAGGTTAGGGTTTAGGGTGTAGGGTTTAGGGTTCATCGACTTTAGACTCATCCTGGAGCCTTATCCTATAGTCTCCATTGTAGTTCCTTTTTGGGGAAGCCTTATAAAATCCTTACTATATAGAATTTGTTAAACCAAAAAAAGGAAGAACAATGGAGACTACAGGTATAGAGCTGGGGACTGGGAGAGGCTTCGAGAAATCTGAGCTTATTCGGACTAAGGTTCGCAACGTAAGGATTCCGGCGGTGAGTTTGCTTGAGGTTTCTGAGTTGACGGTTATGGTAGTGGCATGGTGCCAGAAAAGCCACACCAAGATGCTCTCTAAAGTTCCCTATGTAAAGTTTTAAGGTTCCGAGGGCTGGCTGTGCCAGGCTCCACCTGAGTCATCGAGTCGGGTTCAAGGCTTTGGAGACTGTAGATTGAGGGCGAAGGGCTTGCCAGGGAGCTGTAATATAGGGGCCTTAATAATTAGAATAGGGTTTTGGGGCCCAGTATACAACAATTATAATAAGGAGCCCTCCAAAATAGTATAGGTAACTATTTAGGCCCCCAGCCACAAAGGTTCGAAGGTTGGTACGAGCAGGGAACAGGTTCACTTGACAGGTCGCAAGAATTCGAGACAGTCGAAACACAATCTGTTTTGGCATATGCGGTCGTGGAATTCACGGCTGCTTTGCAAGAGGCATCTCTCGAATTGTTCGAGAAACCTTTAGAGTCTGCGGCTTGTGATTCGCTTAGCCGCAAATACAAGCAGACGTGCAACACTACCCTTACAAGTTCCAACCTCTCATGATCTTGAACCATGAGGCTACATGACTCCATTGCGGTGGCAGATGCGAGATTAACAAGTTGACTGTACATTCTGATGCCATACAGTCATCCTGGCGCTCGCGCCGCCGAATATCCGAACAAAGATGTAGCAAGAGGGAAACTCTGCACCTGGAAACCCCACACTTTCTTGAAGCATTTGGATGCAAGCTTTGCTGTGGCTGCGGTGCCAATGATAGACCGATAGACCACAGCAAAAATCGCAAAAACCACGGAGCCCACCAACCCGCTCGCAAGAAACGGGCCCTGATCATGCCCCAAGTGCAAACCTCTTCAAAGGCAAGGTAAAGTTCTGATGAGAATCCCCCGGACAACATCCTGTCTGAGAGCATTCGTGGCCGCGGGATTTACAAGTTCGGGCTCGCGACGCCGCTAATCCGAAAGCCTTGCTTTAAATGGAAAATGCTGCATCTGCAACTGGAAACCTCTCACGATCTTGAACCATTTGGCTGCAAGATTCCTTTGCCGTGGTGCCAATGGTAGAAGAACCTTGAGATTAGAAAACCCACCACAGCACTAGTCAAAAAAATCAGCGAGCCGACCAATCTCTCAAAGGCGATGCGAGTCCATATCTCCCAAAACACGAAAAGAAGGATGCTTGGCGCAGTCATGGCAGTGACCAGAACGTTGCGAAGGAACTCGGCTCGGCAGTTTCGCCCCTTTGCTCGAAAGAAGCGGGCCAAGATCATGCCCCAGGTGAACACGGTGGGAAAAGTAAAGAGCCAGTAGGTGGGGTATCTGACGAGTAGCCTGACAGCATCCTCTCTGAGACCATTGCTGCCTACCAGGCTGGCCAGATCGTCCATGAGGCTCCACAAGTATGGCGACGTCGACAACAGCACCCAAGTGTATGGAAATGCGTCATAGCCCAGCTGCTGTTCGAGGGCAGTGGCCACAGAAGACCGAATAGCATCATTGAAAGCCTGCTCGGAACCAAACCATGCGGTCAAACACCTGGTAAGTATGCTTCTGTCACATGGGAGCGGCTGAGAAGTAGCGGGGTGCACATGATTCACAGAGCAGCACCAGCAGCGGGTCTTCTGAAGCTCGAAGTTGTGTAGCTGGGAGCTCTGTGCAGCCAGGGCCCGGAAATGCGCGCGAAATGCATCCAGTATGAAGAAGCTGAAAAAGCACATCAGAGGCGTTTTGATGGACCACTCCAGCCAAATGTTCCCTGAAGGCACCATGTGCCCGGAAAAGCCAAAGGCAAAAGCGGCTAGTGCCGTCGAAAGGGCAACATAGCCAAGAGCGGCAGGAACCACTTTCAGTTTGGAGAGGTTCATGGTGGTGAGCATGTCGGGATGGGAACGAAGGAATGCTGCTAGCTCAAAAACGCACCACAGCCTGTCCTAGGTTTAGTTCAGAGGCCGCTTGAGTCTTCCGGAAAAGTCAAGAACATCTTAATTCCATACATGAACACGATTTTTTCTGAAGCTAGTGCAGATTCCACATACGACTCGTCCCAAACAAGCAGAAGTGATTCGGATGCTTTGAGTATGGCTCCCAGGTTCAGTATTCCTTCTGCCTTCTCTCTGCTGTCGAACTGGTTGATGCACACCCGGTCCAAAAAGATAATTCCGCGAGGCTTCCAGAAGAGTAGAGCCCAGAGCGCCAGGATAAGCCCCACGAGGAGGCACCAAAAAGAGTGTTGCACGCCCGGCGCATCGGACTCATACTCAGTCTTTACGTAGCCAGGCAAGAAGCCAAACTGCCAAATCCACATCATCAGACCGGCGCCAAGGCCCGCTATGAGGCAGGCAGGTGGGCCATGCTTTAACACAACCAGAATCAGGCATTTTTTCCAAGTCGAAATCTGCCAGCTATGACTCACGAACTCGTCGTAGGATTCGGTGACCCTGCTCAGATGGAAAACATGTCTATGCTCACCAGCCCAAAACACCTGTCCAAAGCAGCCAGAAGCGATGTGAGCTGGACATCCTCGCAAACCTTCTGGGCGGGTTGGCCGCATGGCCTGCATAAAAGTTGCTACCGAGACACTCAGAGAGACTCCTTCTGACTCTGCAACAGATGGTTTTTCAGAGCTATCATTCACGCCATCGCCCGATTGTGTGTCGGGCACCAGTGCGAAACCATTTTCATCTGGTACTTCGCAGTCTCTGCAGTCTCTGAATGACTCGTCGTCCGATACAACTTCTGGACCAGAGGGATTGAGGTTCACAGAAACATTCACAGACTCGACGCTCAAGATACTTGGGCTGCACATAAGGAAGAAAACTGCCGACGTTCAACAATGCACCATGTTCTTTATGTTGTTTAAAGCAGGGCTCATAATTGCAGTGTCATATACAGTTTAGCCATGTACGCAAAACGTGAAAACGGCTCCTAACCGAGAGCACGTCGCCGGCGGCCGACGACAGTCGCCGATTGGGCATTGCCAGGCACCATGGCATGCCCTTCCTTGACGAGCTGGCAGGCACCCTCTGGGTATCAGGTTCGTGGATTCCGGTTTCGCCCTTCTGATCTCGTGACATCCGATTTGTGCAAATATATCTCAAGATTAGCTGCTGGCTGCAGAATCCTTGACAGCCTTGAGCCTTTGTCGGACAGGACATCTGGGCAACAACAGTTGGGCAGCTCCCTGCCGCAGGAGTTCATACTTCTCAGCAAACAGCATGATCGTGGTGTCTCACAAAGTGGGTGGCAGCAGGGATTGCCCGCGCAAAAGCTCAGCTCGCATGGCTGAGGCCCCATGACTACCCTAAACTCTACAAAAACCCTTAAACCCAAGCCGATTGTGGGTTGGCTAATTAACCTTAAACCCTAAACCCCAAACCCCTGTATCCTGAAGATGACGCCGCTTGCCTGCACCATCGCCGGCACAGCGACAGCCTTGCGCCGGTCCCGGGCAACCTTCCGGACGTAAGGTTTTGGGGTATATTATACTATAATTATTGTAAGGAAGCCCCAAAATAGTATTGGTAATTGTTTAGGCCTCTATATTAGTGCGGCCCAGACCCCTTAAAGCATTGAAGATGAGTAGACGGGCCTCAGAAAAGGCTTATCTTTTGCATTTCTAACTCCTGTTAGCATAATGAGCTTTGCTGTGCTCTTCAGATCTTTTAGACGGATAGGGGTTGGAGATCTTTTTGGACCCAGACCCGAAGCCCAAAAACGCGAAGCCCTGGTTTTGTTTCTTCTCGCCTCCCTGGACGGTCATCATGTCGGAGGCTTCCGGTTTAAGGGTTTAGGGTTTAGGGGTCATCATGTCGGAGGGTTCCGCACAGTGCATGCTGATCTCTTCTAGTGGAAGACGAAACACACTGAGGGCTCGAATTCCAGAAAACTGTAGAAGCACTCCACCTAGCCAGCCCTCAAACTTAAGTTCTGAGCTCGAAATCGCACGGAACCCACCTAAACACTGAACTGGTTCAGCGGCTCCAGACTATATCTTGCGAGGCCGCCAAGGCTTCTCAATTGAACAACTAGTCCGGAGCCCTAAACCACAACAAGCAAAAGCATCATAAACCCTAGAATCCTAGAAGAAACGGCACTGCAACCTAAACACCGAGGCGATGAGCCCTCAACCTGAAAGACCATCAGTTCGGGCTTCTTCGGAGTCGTTTGGCTTAGAAGCTGTCGACTATGATTCAGGGCTTAGGATGTGCCTTCAAGGTTCTAAACCGCATGGGTTTAGAGGCCTAGGGTTGCAGGCTTAAGGCTTTAGTGTTTGGGGCCTAAGGCCAGCAGCAATACTACTGTTGATGACTGGAACGGTAGCACTCTTCATCAGCACAAAATGCGGGCCTCAACGAAGGCACAGCAGGCGGCAGGACGCGGTGAGCCCAAAGAACCGGAGACATGCAAGATAAGCCTAATGTAAAGGCCTTAATAATTCGAACAGGGCTTGGGGGTATATTATACATAATCATAGTAAAGAACCCCCAAATAGTATAGGTAGTTATTTAGGCTCCTACATTTTGTGCTAGAGTTCCCGACCCCACACCTCTGTCTTAAGGAGCGCCGTTTGAATCCCTTGCTGGCGATGGTGGACTACAAACTGCAAGGTTTCGACTCTCACGCTCGCACAAGGCCGGCGAGGCAAGGTTGAGGGTTGAGGGTTTACTGCCAAACACATGAGGGACTTTCCGAAAATTATGCGTTTGGGGTCCTTACAAAAAGGATCCTACTATTTAGGGTACTATATTAGTGTAGGGCTTTAGGGAGCAATGTTGTGAGGCCTTGGTGCAGGGTCTCAATGGGACATTTTCGTCTTCTCAGAGAAGAAAGCCTGGCATCCTGATCATGGTACATCGGCACGGCAAAGCATACTTTTTTGTAGCATCTCAAGCTTCGGCACCTCAGACTTTGTTGCCCCAAGCATCGTTACGACACTGGCTCGATGTCCGCTCCTGTATTAAAAGCCGAAGAGCATTGGACTACGGCGTGCGATTGTGCACGGGACCTAAGTTGGTTCCTACCCTAAGCCCTCAATTGAAGCTTACATCGCACCAGGCCCTCATTCTCATTCCTAAACTCCCAGTAAAGCCCTTAAATTACCCTAAACCCTAAACCCTAACTCAAAACCCTAAACTTGAAAACGGATTCATTCCGCGAGGATTCGGACTGAGCTGGGGATCTTCTCCGTGATTCGGACTGAATCCCGAGGACACCCTACAAAGGAACATGCAGCATTAGGGTTTAGGGTTTAGGGTTTAGGGTTTAGGGCAGAAGCTACGCCATCAACCACGCTCTGTACAGCTTATAGCAACCTCCCCGACTGTAAGATTGGGTCGGGTCACAAATACCTATAGGTTGTGGAAAGTATGGTTTCTATGGTCGGAACTACTATTACATGGTTTGGGTAAGTATTGCCCATATAGGTACTCGCAACATGAGCCAAGCCTGCGGCTTCAATCCAGTATCCGCAAAGCGGAAAACTTTGTCCGAACCCGAGCGTGACATACTCTGCCCCCGACCACCGTCCCCCTCGCCACCCGCGCGCCCCCAACATCGATGATTTGGGCGCCATGCTTTGCTTCCTCGCAGTCGTATTCGTCAACATCTCCCGCCTCGGGTCGACGCATGATTGAAGGTGTCTTGTAGTGCCACCTTAACCTACCATAACCCTCTTTTTTGTAGGTTCTTATTATAAACCCTAATATGGGATTTATAGGGACCCTACAAAAAAGTAGGTTCTGGTAGGCTAAGGCAAGAATTATGGCAAGGCTGCTGTCTTACATGTTTAGGGCAAGTTCCGGGCACGTTACAAGCCTGGGCTTTGGGTGTTTTTTAGCACTTGCGCCAGCTCAAGCCTCACGGGCCTTCTGCGTCGAGCGTACCTGCTGTCCCGTGAAGGGTCAACATTATCGGGCTGGCTGGGGTTGCCAGAAGGGCTTCTGTAAGCTCTATAGACTCTAAACTCTAAACCCGAACTCCCGAGCTAAATACCAAACACACCCCGAACCAAGTGCCTCTTACAAGGCTTCAGCATCTGAGGTTTAGGGTCAGGTGTTGCTCTGCCGGGCTCAAGCTTCACCGACACAGAATAGCAATCGCAAACCCATGGAGCCTCGTTTAGAAGACATTGACCCTAAACCTTAAACTCCTAAACCCCAAGCGAAGATCCGAACCTGCAGATTCGGCCTTTGCTTCAAGCACAAGCCCAAACACGCCCAAAGGTGAAGAACCACCCTCACAAGATGAAACCCCGCTCACCCCTGGGCCCCTCCGAAAAAGAAGATCACCTCTTCAACACAGAAGACAATTCGGCCTCGACTCTGTTGACGACGAAAAACCTGAACAGAGGAGAGCTCTAGCAAGCCCTGCTCTACTCCCACGGATTTGGGAACCGTTGGGGACCGACGGGGTGCATGGGGCAGCTCTTGCTCGTCGGTTTTTGAAGGATATACGTAGGGTTACATAGGGTATGGGATGTGCAAGAGCTTCGAAATGGAACTGTGGTACTTTCCGAAAGCCCCGGAGACATGTGCAGGTATGACATGCGCTAGAACACTATCCTAAACTGGCAACTAAACCCTAAACCCTAAACCGCCTAAACTACATGGGGCATGGCATGGCGCAGCACAGGCTGAACCGAAGCAAACACGTGTGACGTCTAGGTTTAGGATTCGACAGCTTTGGGGTTTCAGGGAAAATACACTAGATCTTTAGTAAACTAAACCATAAGCCACAACTTTAACCTTCTTGAAACCGGCCCCTGACCTGCAAGGGGAACTTGAATCTTAGACGCTAAACCCTATAAGCAATATGTCAGAGGCGTCTGATGGTTCAGGATCCGGGTTTCACGGTTTGGGCGGTTTGGGGTTTCGAGTTC